GAGGCAGGAGGGGCGGAGCCACAAAGGAGGGATGGGGCTGGGTGGGAGAGAGAGACCTGGAGGGAGGAGTGGGGCGGGGCAGGTGGGCAGGGCGGGGCTAGGCGGGAAGGGAGGTGTCAGGCAGGAGGGGGCCGCTAGATGTGAGGGCTAGGAAAGCCCAGCCAGCGCCTTCCCAACCTCTCCTCAGTGCATGGCGCCTGGGACGAGTGGTCCCCCTGGAGCCTTTGCTCCAGCACCTGTGGCCGTGGTTTCCGGGACCGCACGCGCACCTGCAGGCCTCCCCAGTTTGGAGGCAACCCTTGTGAGGGCCCGGAGAAGCAAACCAAGTTTTGCAATATCGCATTGTGCCCTGGTAGGTGAGAGGGAGGGTGGGGGAGGGCTGGAGGGGCAGGGCAGGGGGAGAGGTGAGGACCCAGCTCTTACCACCCCCACCCCCACCCCCGGACACACCTGCTAGGGTGCTGGAGGTTAGAGTCTCAGACTGCTCCCAGGCTGAGGCTTGGGGTGTGACCCTGCAGGTGTTCTCACCTAAATCCCACCTGGGTGTTGGGGTGTTCACACCCACATCCCACCTGGGTGTTGGGGTGTTCACACCCACATCCCACCTGGGTGTTAGGCTGTTCACACCCATGCCCCACCTGGGTGGTGGGGTATTTACACTCATGTCCCAGGCTGGGTGGTAGCATGTTCTCACCCATGCCCCACCTGTGTGGTGGGGTGTTCACAGCCATGTTGCAGGCTGCGTGGTGGGATTCCGGCTGCAGGGTGTTCACACCCATGTCCCAGCCTGGGTGTTTGCACACTAGCCCTGGGTGTTCACACCGGCTTCCTGCCCCTTCCTCCCCCGGGCCGGGCAGTGGACGGAAACTGGAACGAGTGGTCGAGCTGGAGCGCCTGCTCCACCAGCTGTTCCCAGGGCCGGCAGCAGCGCACACGCGAATGCAACGGGCCTTCGTACGGGGGTGCTGAGTGCCAGGGCCACTGGGTGGAGACTAGAGACTGCTTCCTGCAGCAGTGCCCAGGTCAGCACGCCTCGGCCTGTGGGCACCAGCTGGGGGGCGGGGCCTGCATGTCTGGGGCTGGACTCCCATGTTTCTAGGGATCTCAGTGTCCCCCGTCCCCATCTCCTGGTCCTTCCCTGGGTGTTGATGTCCCCACTCCTCTGGGTCTTTGCACTCCTATGTCTCACCCCCCCTTCCCTGTGTTTGTTTTCTGGGCCCTGCGGTTTGTGGCTCCCTGCCTCCCTGCCTCCTCCCGTGCTCCGTGCCTGGCTGTCCCCTGCAGTGGACGGGAAGTGGCAGGCCTGGGCCCTTTGGGGCAGCTGCAGCACCACGTGCGGGGGTGGCACACAGCGCCGGGAGCGTACCTGCTCGGGGCCCTTCTTCGGGGGAGCAGCCTGCCCGGGCCCCCAGGAGGAGTACCGGCAGTGCAGTTCCCAGCGCTGTCCCGGTGAGCACCCTGCCCCCTTGGCTAGGATGGGACACCCTGAGCCCCTGCATGGGCCTGGGGCGGTGAGGGGCTTGGGCTTGCTCCTCTGGGGATCAACTGCCCCCGAGGCCCCCCGAGGGGTGCAAGCCCTCACCTAGGCCTTCCGGAGCTGGCCCCAGCTCCCGGCACCCCCAGTGGCCCATCCCCAAACCCCCAGCCCCACTCACTGTGTCTGGCCCTTGGCAGAGCCCCACGAGATCTGTGACGAGGACAGCCTTGGCGCAGTGATGTGGAAGGAGACACCAGCAGGGGAGGTGGCTGCCGTGCGGTGTCCCCGCAACGCCACAGGTGACGTATGTCAGGCGCCCACTCACTGAGGGCACGGAGACGGCCCCCCGCTCTAAGACCTAGCCCACCTGTGTGCACAGACTGCTGTGTGTGCTGGCCAGACTGGGGGCCACACTTCAAGCCCACCTGACCACACGGAACACAGTGGCCACCTTGGCCTGAGCAATGCAATGTCCCCACCGAGTGGCCACTGTCACTCGCTCTCTGTCAGAGGGGAAGCTGAAGGATGGACGGTTCACGTGCTCACCCTGGTGTGCCCCAGCCATCCTGGGAAGCTTCTTGGAGCCGGTGGATCCCCTAGGGAGTGAAGCAGGGTAGGGGGATGAGGAAGGTGGGGAAGAGGTCCAGCTGGCAAAGGCCTGTCCAAGAAGGGACCGGTCCCTTCATCCCTTTTAGAAGGGTGGCAATGGAGGCGAGGCTGGGAGCCCCGTGCTGGCTCTGCCCTGCTTGTGGGTGCCTGCCATTCAGGAGTGAGCTCACCTCTCTGAGCCTCAGTTTCCCCCTCTGTAAAGCAAATACTGTTGGGAAGACACCAAGGGGTGTCAGAGTGGGGACAGCAGGGCTGGGCCACCGTGACAGCTCTGTATCGTTCTACCCGTGCTTGGTAGCCTCCTAGAACCTGAGAGAAACACAGAAAGAGCATCAGAGCCTGCGAGGTGGTGGGACCTGCCGGCGGCTTGCCCACCTCCCTGACACCTGTTGTCTCAGGATGTCTTGTTGCTTCCTTAATTCATGCTCCAAGGCTGCGTTATCACCGCCTCCCCCTTATATACCAGGAAAGTTTCCCTGTGCCACAAGGGCCTGGCCCCGTCCAGACCAGTGGTCCAGGCTGCTGTGTCCAGCCGGGTGTGGCCCTCCCTGCCTCTTGCTGCCTGTTGGGTGCTAGGGTGTGGTAGCTACTGCCTGCTGCAGCCTGAATGGGCCATCCCCTGATGATGATGAATGAGGCACTGCCCCTGGGGTGCGCCCCACTGAGGCTGCACCCAGTGTCGCTCTGGGACCACCCACAGACAGCAGCAGGTGGGAAGGGGCCTCCCTGGGGAGATGAGGCCCCTGGGGGGCTTTGGTGGGGCCCGGCTGAGGAGCTGCAGAGAGGCCAGGCTGAGCTCACTCGGTCAGGGCTTTACCTACACGCAGGTCCCAGTGGCTTGGCTCCTGCCGGGCCCCAGCACCTGGCCCAGCCTGGCTGGCAGTCCTGGCCCACGTGGGCTGCACGTGTTGCAGGAGGCCTCAGCCATCCCTGCTTCTGGGGCTGGAGCTCCATCCAGAGGGCTTGGGGCTGGACAGCCGGAGGTGGGGTATTCCTGCCGGAGGGGGAGGTGGGGGTGCTGACCCGGCCACGCCCCCAGGCCTCATCCTGCGACGTTGTGAGCTGGATGAGGAAGGCATCGCCTACTGGGAGCCCCCTACCTACATCCGCTGTGTCTCCATCGACTACCGCAACATCCAAATGATGGTGAGTGAGGTCCCGGGGACCCCAGTCCCCTAGAACCCCAAGGCCCTGCCCTGCCCACCCCGTCTTCCTTCACTGCTGGCAGCCTGTGTCCCTCAGGAGCCTCAGCCATTGTCCTTTGGACTTTGAGGAGCTCTGACCCCGTTGGGCTGCAGAGGGTCCTCTGGCACGTGGTCCCTGCCCCCTGGAGCCCTCGGTGTCCCCGGAGGCTGATGGCAGCTGCTTCTCTCCTGCCTCCAGACCCGGGAGCACCTGGCGAAGGCTCAGCGTGGACTACCAGGGGAGGGGGTCTCAGAGGTCATTCAGACACTGGTGGAGATCTCGCAGGACGGGGCCAGCTACAGTGGGGACCTTCTGTCCACCATCGACGTCCTGAGGAACATGACAGAGATCTTCCGGAGGGCATACTACAGCCCCACTCCCGGGGATGTGCAGGTGGGCTCCTGGGGGCTCAGGTGGAAGGACACCTGGGACACTGGTGAGTGATCCTGGACCACAGCCTGAGACTGGGGCTGGACCCTGGTCACACACTGAGCCCTGATCCTGCTCACATGCTGACCCTGACCCTGGTCACACCCTGAGCCCTGACCCTGGTCACACCCTGAGCCCTGATCCTGGTCACACTCTGAGCCCTGAGTCTGGTCACACACTGAGCCCTGATCACACACTGAGCCCTGACTCTGGTCACACCCTGAGCCCTGAGTCTGGTCACACCCTGAGCCCTGAGTCTGGTCACACTCTGAGCCCTGA